ATTTTTTCAAGTTTTTCTTTTTTCTTTGTAACTATGCTATTAGTTTTGCAGTACACTTTTTTCTATATTTCTTATTGCTTTCTATGTTGCTGCTTCTTTTTATTTAATGTTACTTAAAGTGTTTTTTATAGCCAATTTTGCAAAAAATCTTCTTTTTTCTTCTGGCTATTTTGTATTTAAGTAATTGTTGGGAAGAGTTAAATAATATTTTTGTCTTATGCAATATGTGTTCTAAGTGTTTTAAATCTCAGATTTTAGTTATTTAATTAGTAATAAAGTTAAATTATAATTTTTAGCTCTTAGGTCTAGGTGATGCTTCATTGCTAGGTTCTAAGTATTTTTTTTAATTCTTTTTTATTTATATTTGTTAATAAGTTTTAAATTATTAAATAATTTATGTTCTTTGATTTCTTATTTATCTTGTATTAGTTTTCATTTATCTTAGTTTTATTTATTCTTTATTCAAATTCTTTCTTTTTGAATCTTAATTTACTATTTTTTTTTCTTTTAATATTTCTTATTATATTGTATTTATTTTTTTATATTATCTTCTTTTTTTTTAATATTATTCTATACCAATTACTTTTTTATTTGCTAATTTTTTGCATTGCTTTACTTTTGTTATATTTGCATTTAAAGTTTATTTTTATCTATAAATTTTCTCTTATAAAGACTTTTCTAACATCTTTAATATATAAATTATTTTTTAATAATTATTTAATAAATTTTATATATTCTTCTTTTGTTTTTTTAAACACATTATATACTGATATATTGGTAAATAAATTATTGTTTTGGTTATATTATCTTTTACTTAGAGCTCATATGCTCTCTTTTAAAGGTTTTCTAATTATGACAATTTTTCTTTTAATTTTTATTTTGACATTCTTTTGTTTTTACTTTTCTTTTTATTTTTTTGTATTTCTTTTTTGGATAGACAGATTTTCTCTTTCTTAATTATTATTTAACTGACTTATCTTTATACTTATTTTTTTTTGTAAGTTTTTAGTATTATCTTGTATTTTTTTTTCAGTTACTTTTTTTTTCTATTTTTATTTTTTATATTATTTTATATAATTTTTTTTGATTTCAATTAACTGCTATTATATCTCTTTTTTTTATAAGTTTTTAGTATTATCTTGTATTTTTGTTTCAGTTACTTTTTTTTTATTTTTATTTTTTATATTATTTTATATAATTTTTTTTGATTTCAATTAACTGCTATTATATCTCTTTTTTTTATAAGTTTTTAGTATTATCTTGTATTTTTGTTTCAGTTACTTTTTTTTTTATTTTTATTTTTTATATTATTTTATATAATTTTTCTTGATTTCAATTAACTGCTATTATATCTCTTTTTTTATCTTGTATCTATTCTATTGAAGGTTCTTCTATTATTATATTTTTAGTTTGTTTAATAATATTGATCTTCTTTTTTGACTACACTTCTTCTATTTTTTTAATTATTTCTCTAGTTATATGTAGTAAAGCTATTAGTATAATAATAATTTTAATTTTTTTATTTAATATTGTAAAGGTTCTATTTACTTAGTTGAAAAATACCTTATTGTGTATACTATTTGCTATTCAATATGTGTTTTTGATATAAATTAATATTAGTGTTTTTTTTTAATTTTATATATTTGTTTTATTATTAGTGATTCTGTTTATTATTTATTGTTCTAAAACTTTCTGTGTTTTATATTTATCATTATTCAAATTGGATTTGTTTGTATATCTATCAATACATATGTTTGTTTTGTTTGTTTATTCATATATTGTTATAATTTATAGATCTACATTTCCAGATTACAGAAAATTTTTCAAATTTTATTTTTCAAAATGTCAACTGAGAAGTTTTTCTTTTCTATTTCTTTTACTAAGTTATCTAATTTCTTTTTATTTTTCTTATTATGCTTTTTTATAAGCTCTATCTTTTTCTTTAGATTTATAAAGTTAGTTTAGACAATCATTTTTTGGTAAACTTCTAAAATGTTTTTTCACAATCTTGTGTACAAGTGATCAGTAAAAAGAGTTTTTAAATTTTTTTTATTTTTACTTTTTTGAATTATTGTTTTTATATTATTGTAAATATCAAATAAATATATATATATTAATAATCAATTTTTTTTTATTAATAAATTTAAATTTTTTAGCATTTTAATTTTCACAGATACAACTATTATGTGAAAATAAGCTTGTGACATTGTGATTGCTTCTTCATAGGTGCATTTTTATATGCAACAAGATGAGCAACCAAAAGAACTAAAAATTAGATCTTTTTATTGAATAAAACAATATTCATTCTCAGATTAATATAATTATTAATAATCAAAAATGTTATTACTCTATAAATTTTCTTCTAATAACAAGAGGATCATACTTTAAGTTTTTATTCATACACCTCTCCTTACATCCTTCCAAAATTTTCCTTAATTTCAAATCTATCTAAGTGTGGTTATGGGTCACTTGAGCATTGACCTTCATGTGATGTAACCTGGATGCTAATTAACAAATGCTCACTTTTAGATACATATCTTACATAGATTTGATTAAATATGCCTTTAGCAGAGTATGGTTTACAAGCAAATTAAGTAGAGTGTACAATTCTAAGCATTTAATTGGATAAAAATTCCTTGTAATTTTGTGTAGCACCCCGAACAATGCTAAAAAAAAAAATATTCATCATGACTATTCAGTAATCCACAAATAATATCGAATAAATACCATGAATACTCGTAAAGAATTCACTGAATCTTATGTGATAATTAAATAACTGAATAGATTTATGCCGTTAAGTAAAACCAGCACCAGACTCAAAATTTTTTGTTAATTCTGATTAGAGGTGAGTAACATATGCATTTAGAACGCATGGTGTGCATAACGATTAATTGTTAACGTTATAATTGATTTTACTTGTCTTTAAAGCTAATAAAGCTCTGAATTTAACACACTTGTGTATACCACGCGCTTGCATAATTGCAGCAGATATTGCATCATGCATTCTCTAACCCTGATATATTAAAATTTAAAATGGTAAGGTCTTTTAATTAGCATTACTCAAAAATGTTTTTTACTAAGATATTCAAAAAAAATGTACTAGTTGTCAGTGATAATAATGTTAATAAACTATTTACATTGGGGACTACTGTCGGATATGTAAATCAAAAATATGTGTGGATCACTAGTAAAATTATTAATGGTATATTTTTTGTGAATTTAATAGTAAAGAATGACTTGCATGTTTTCAGATGATGTCTAGAGTAAATCGCTTTACCTTTGTCAAATACTTTAGTATAACTCTATTCTTAAACACATTTAGAACAAAAAAAATTTCATATTCAAATATTAAAAATTTTTTCTATAACGCAAATATCTATCTTTGAATAGTTCACTATATGGAACAAAATTTCTGTAAAGGGTCGGCTTGAAATTTAATATTAGAACATAAAATTTTTTAATGTAACTTTGTTATAAATGTGTATGATAGCTTTATGCTAAAAGGTAAAGCGTTACATCTAAAACTACAGTATTAAAATATATGCATAAAGTGATAAATAGTCCCGACCATTACCCTAATCACTATCATAATCACTAAATTCACAAAAAATCTATCATTCACATATTTTTGATTTACATGCATAGTTCCGGGCAGAATTATGTTGGTCGTGGGCCTGAATTATTTTAATGCCGGCCAAATTAAACGATTAAGAAAAATTTTAGCCGATTTCAATCCGTATGGTATTTAAAGTCTTAGCAACAAAGTGGTAGAGAAAAAAAAATCTTACAAAAACTTTATTTTATATAAATAGTATTAATACATAGATAACACTTTTCAAAGAGAACATGATTTCAGGCTTTGAATTTTTAAGGCTGAGCTGATTTTGAAAAGCCTGAAGTTTCAATAGTACTCGAGTTCAAACAAAACGCTATCGTTTTTTCAGATCCATATCCCATCACCGACACTCTTTTCGTAGACACAACACTTCACCGACGATAAATTTACCGACATGTGACACTTAAGTTACCGACACTTAATTCATCGACAATTATTTCATCAACAATTAATTCACCGACACTTAAATTCACCGAAAGCTTACAACTTGAACCATAATTCTAGTCTAACCCTAACAATAATGATTATGATTACTTTGTCGGTGAAATGAACACATCAATGAAGTGTTATGAGCATTACGTTTAAACTTAATATCTTTTGATTATTTATACATCACAAATTAGGATTATGTTACAAATACAAATTAACAAATTAGGATTGTGTACGACGTGATAATTAAGTTTCTGAATTTGGTATTCGAGATTTTGACCTTTTTTATTGCTTTTGTACATTTTTTATATAAGCCACATGCTATGCTTAATAGCCACACGAAAATGTTTTCGTCCACCAACATTGATCAATATTTCTCAAAGTCTTAGAGGATTTGATCTTCGTTGTCAGGTTTGATTTTTCACCTTTACCAAGAGGTTCACCTTTTGCCAGGGTTTCGTCATTTCGCCAGGGGATTTCGTCTTTTGTCTTCCACCGAGTTTAAATTTCATACTCGCCATTTGCACAGAATGGTTTTGTCTAAACTCTGTAGGCTGGCAGCCAGCCTGCAGTCTTTAGACAGCTGCTGGCTATAAACTCAAAGCCCCAATCCCGATTTTCCTCTGCAGCATTCATCATTATAAGTAACCCAATTAGAATATTTTTAAGGTAAACAAAACATCGTAGAGCATTATTTTTATTAACGTCAATAGAAAGTAAATACCGTAATTTTTAAAGTTGTAATCACCATTCAATATTTTCGTCTAATCTAGACACTTGAACTCCTTATATCACATATTTATATAATCGCATTTATATATTTACATGTGATTATTACGCATTCTGCAGGTAGTACAAACCGTAGTACAAACCCTATGAATATACAAAAGATATTATGTCATGTAAAAATGTGATATAAGGGGTTCATCCTACCAATTTTGCTTGTTCTAAAAAAATGTCTTACCAAGAGATTTTATTAGAAAAAGAAAATGAATATTTACAACGAAAAATAAAAGAAGAATTAGAAGCATGGAGAAAGAACAACTTTGAATCTGCCAAGGCTACAGTTATTTCGATTGTTGTCTCCTCACTTTCTCTTTTATTTGGTGTTTTTCTTTTCATTTTTGAGAAATCTACTTTTGCGCAAGAAATCAAGAATACTATTTCTACTTCTATAATCGGGACTGGAGGTTCAGTGACTCTTCTTGGAAGTTTGGCAGGTCTTAAAAACCTCTTTAAAGAAGCTAGTGATGAGGCGGCAAACTTTAAGGATGTTCTGGAGATGTTTAAAAAAACTGATGCTGTAACTCAAGGAGAAAGTTCCGTTAACAAAGAATTTGTACAAAAATTACAAAAACGTTATACGGATCAAAAACGTATATATAAGTTTTTAGAAGGACTAAATAAACATATGCAATTTATGTCGATTTGTCGCACCGTAATTGTTACTATCACATCATTAGCTGTCCTCATGTTGGCATTAATTTCGGTTTTTTATTTAATTCTTAGTGATGATGAATTTATATTCCAAATAATCGACATTTTACTTATTATATGTTCATCACTCATCTTATATTATTCCATTTGTGTTATGATTTTAATTCAACTCGTTATTCCATTCTCGACAGAAGAAATGCTTGCTAAATCGTCGCCAACAGAAGTAAATGTAGAATCGTCGCCAACAGAAGTAAATGTAGAACAGAATGTTTCAACAAATGAAAAAAAAAAAAAATTTGGGGAGTATGATCCAGAAGTTGATTTAAGAGAACTTATTAAATTTTTTTTTGATAAAATTAAATGCGAACCAAATTTAGTTTCAAAACTAATTAAAATTATAGAATTGTTTATATTTGTTTTGTTCATGGGTTGTTTTTTTATGCTTGGTTTGATGTCATTAAATTTGAAATTAAGAAGAATTTCTATGGGAAGTAGTGAATTAGAAGGAATCAATCGTGTTCTTTATGGATTACCATTAGAAGAGGCAACGGTAGATTAAAATCGTTAGAAATTTGTGGATAAATTATTTTTATTATTCTATTCTATTATTTTATTTTTATGTATTAAATTTATTGATAAATTTTTTTGATAAAAATTTAGTTTAATTTCAGAGACTAATCAGATGAAACAAGTTAATGTAGGCCAACTACTTAAATTAAGTCGCCTAAGTGATAGCCACAGTCAATTTTTTCAACTAATCAGGTCGTTCAACAAACCTAATGAGGGAGTTGACACACAACTCCTAGGATTTTTCATGACATACTTTTTTTGAAAAAAAATTTTAAACGTACAGCCTGTTTGACGCTTTAGTTTGACATAGTGGTCAAAGGAAACTAACTTTATAGTTATAAATTGTTGGTGAGATCTGAAGTACTTGAATCTCGATTTTTAGCCATTCTATTAAGAATTCATGGCGTATGGATGATTTTCGTGAGGTGCATTTTTCGAAAAATTTCGACGTTTAGTTTCGGTATAATAGTTAAAAGAAATAACTTTTACGACTTTAAGTAAACCTTTATAGGACCATGAAGCATTCGAATCAAAGTTTATAGTAATACTAGTTGAATATTTGTAAAGTTATAATATTTTCAAATAATATTAATAAAACAAGGTCAAGGATATATTGTGAGCGTTTGATCTATATTATTTATATAATTCACAAAGAAATTTAGGTATGATAAAGTGTGCTAATGTGGTGAGCCTTGAATAATAGAGGCATAATAATAATATTACACTAATTCATGGTTTTCTTTTTAAATTTAAAACATAATACACAAGATTCTACCGCTATGAAATGCCGCTGTTTTATTACTAGTTCATATAAGTTCATAGAATTCATTTTTATATTAGTTTTTGGCTAATTTAGATGGGACCGATTAAGGACCGATCGATTAAAATTCTCCAAACAACAAGTGCACTATATAGTATAGCGAAGTGTTCATCAGTTTTCCGTATTTGTCATTAACAAATTCACAGAGCATTGAGATTTTGTGTAGAAGTTTCATGTCACATTTATATAGGACAGCATTCACATATACATATCACGTTATGCTAAATTACCGTTATTCACCAATTCTTGCAAAATAATGTATCGGTAAACTAAGCTGAAGATTTAATTTCAGACAACCTAAACGAAATTCAAATATTATAAGGTTATTGAAGTAAACTCTGAGTTGAAATAACAAAATTCGATTTAAAAAAAACTAAGGCTCGAAAAAAAATTTTCTACAAATATAATATGGATTCGATAAAAAATTTGAGGGAACTGCTTTAGATTTGGTATATGTGTAACGCATGTATTTGTATTGTGAGCGGTAGGATGGTGTAATGAATAAACGGGTATGTCGATCACCTACCTAAAAAGTGTTTACCGGCAGTATACGCTGTATTGGCTGTATACCATGTATCCTGTGCATCGGGTGAATAAAGGGTATCAGTGGGATCAAGGGTATAATTAAAATAATCAGTATAAACATTATCATCAGTATAATTGGTATAAACGTTATAAGTAGTATTTATGGTATATCACGAATAAAGTGTATAACGTGTCCTATGTATAAGTAGCTGCGCAACGTTGTCACGCGAAACCAGGAACGGAGAAACAATAATTACAGAACTAGATACTGTGAAAAGATCTTTATGATGATATTTTTAGTAAGTAGATTTCAGACATGTACATGATTTAAACATTGTAATTCTTGATAGTTATTATAGAAAAGGAATATTGTATAGTTGCCTGTGAATTAGTTTCAGGAAAAAAAGCAATTATAATAATTTTATAGTATGCGGTAATAACGTATTGTTATATTGTTGTAACATCATTTTGGCAATGAACTTACAATATTAGGTGTTGTCAATAAAACATATACTTCAGCTTGTAGGTTAGTTTCTTGTTGGACTCTATTGCTATAACATTGATATACTTTAGTCTAATAAATTATGAACTTTGAGGCTCAAAGATAGGTATGTTTTGGCAGTGCTTACTTTCAAAATTTAATTGCAAAGTTCACAATAGCAATGATAAGTGCAACATGTAAGGGCATTTTTAAGATTTTTTAACTGCAATGAATAATTATATCAAAACATTATTAAGAAGATTTTGACTTTTTTATAAAAAAAAACTTCATACAAAACAAAAATAATCTTTTTGATTATTTTGTTAACTCTATACATTATTTTTATTACAACAAGTATCATGAATAATAACTGGATTTAATTAAAGAAATTACACTTCATAAGACTTTAATGGGAGAATTTCTTCTTATGTCAACAATATTATTCTCACAATAAACTATATTATAGTGATGTTAATAAATAATATTAAGGATACAATTTATCTATGTCATTAATTACACATTAAGAAATAAATACATTGGGATTATAATGATTATGTGATTAAAACAAATGCATTGCTATTTTTATATTTTTACACATTATAGCAAAAATAAGAAACATATACAATATATTATAAGAAGACATTTGCATTATTGTAGATTTACTCATGATTTTCCATGATAATTAATCAATCAAAATACATAATTTTAATTAATATTACAATACAGAAAACAAAAAAAAATTGTATAAAAAAGCTTATAGACAATAAATATATGTAAAAAAAGGTTATTATTTATATTTAAAGAATAGATAAATGCATGTAAAGTGATAAATGTAATATTCATTGTTAATAAACCCAACTAGAGATGGGTACATGCAAGATCTGTGCATGATCCTGTGTGGGATTTTTAATATGATCCCAAAATAAGATTATTCAGCTGCATTATCATAATATTTAGTTAGCATTAATATAATATCTGATCTGCATTAACATATTTAGCTAATTTCTAATTAAAATTTCTAAAAAGAATTTATTTTTTTGGCATTGGTATCTTTTACTTTCATTATAAAAATATTCTTTATGATTAAGTTGCTCTTTTAAAAATAAATTACATGCATAGTAATAATAATATTTGTAATTATTTTACAAAAATTGGATTAGATAAAAGTAATTACTATTATTAAACCTTGCAAAAAATACATTAAAATTCACTATTTTAATTAACTAATGACAATGACCAAAATTTAGACAAAATTACTTGAATTTTTAGTAAAGAAATCATAATCACTTATTAAGTGAAATTAGGATTTGAAATTTTGTAGTTTAATAAATTCAGTGTAAGATTTTTAGAAAAACTGTGATTTGCCTATTTCTAGATACTATATATCTCATAAAATTATATATATTATAAATTTGTAAATGCTTGTTAACAAGGATCAATAGATCAAAAAAACAAGGAGCATTTGGCAAAAGTTTCACATTACATGTTGCAACTTCTAATCTGCCAACAATCAATATAAGAGACAATTAGTGCCATATTACTGAACCATGTATTATAATTTAAGCCACTAAATAGCTTATATAAAGATTAAGAAAAAAAGAGCTATTTATGCACTTTTCTCTTATCAAACATCCAATTTATATAGTTAGCATTTTTTAATCAAAAAATATATATATATATATAAAAAATAACCAAACAATAAAGAGTTTCTTGTGTGAACCAAATAAATTTTGAGTCACATGACACAGATAATAGGAGTCATGTGTTTCTCTAATCAAGTACTATTATATTACTCTTTAACAGCATGATTATAGACCTTGGACATTAAAGACCAGTTATATATATTGATTCTCAGATAAAGACAACATTAATGAATCAATTTAGAAATCGATTATATCAATTATTGGCTCTTTTAGACAGTACATCAACTTACAATTTGATAAACAAAAGTGATGAAATAAGCAGTTTCATTTAAATATTAATAATACACTTACCAAATTAATACAATCCAACAATAGTAACAACAACTAGTTAAATAAATTAGACAAAACTAGCAGTCCAGTATTATTGCAACAACAGAGTTCAACAGGATCAACTGATCTTCATTTAACAGATACAATAAAGCTTGGTACACAAGATACAGATAACTATCTTTTAACTTCAGTACTAAACAATCTTATTATGGCAACATTAATAGTGAGTCTTTAACCACAAAGCCTAGTGACAACATCAGAATTAAATAAATCAACCCAGCCTTTGATAATAATTATTGCAGTATCAGTTTTCAAGTCATCTGTTAAGAAGTATCTGTCTCTTGATTATACAAAGCTTAAAAACATTTGTGATGTTCAAGGGTTTTCAAACCCTTATGTTGCAAGAACAGAAAGTATATGAATCTGATAGGTTACTAATTGGGCAGAGGGCAAACTGATCATCAAAATTTTATCATACAAGTCACAACAACAACAACAATAACAACAACAACAACAACAATAATAATAATAATAATAATAATAATAATAATAATAATAATTGTAATAATAATAATAATAATAATAATAATGTTAATAATAGCAATAATAATAATAATAATAAGAATAATAAAAAAATAATATAAAGCATGTGAAAAGGTTACTATTATTAACAATTATTCATTGAGTTAAGTGTATTTACATTATGCTTACTTATTATAATAATAGAATTACTCAGATTTATTTGCTTGATACTGAGCAAGTTAACAAATTTTAATTTTAATATTTTAGATACAAGACTATATATTAGACATCTAGCACAATATAAAAGTGCATACAATATTACAATCAATAAACTACTTATTCTCCAGTCAGTCAATAACACATTAGCTACAATTCTATCATATAATATATTTTTAACTTCTACTGAACATAAAATTCTCAAACAACTTGATCTCAAACCCTTTAACATAGTGATACCAATTAATATAGATGTATTCAAATATTTAACAACTAATCATTCCAATTAACTATTTATTAAATACTTACTAAATGGTCTCAAGAATGAATTTAGATTCAACTTTATTGGACAAAAAGTAGCAGTAATTCAGAAAGATCTAAAGTCAATAGAAATAGATCCTTAATTATTTGTCTAATATATAAAAAAGAAAATAATACAAAGTCAAATATATGGTCCATTTTTGATACAACATCCATCTTGTCAACTTTTTCAAATGAACTCTTGTAGTCTTGTAGAGAAAAAAAATATAAACCCCAAGACATATTGAGTAATATCACACTTCTCAGCCCTATTTGATACAAGCATTAATGATGGAATTGACAAGATTGAGTTTATTACACAATATAAAAATATTAGTTATGCAATTTACTAGATTACATTCTATAGTAAAAGTTGTTTACTATTAAAAATCAATATTAAAGATGCTTACAAAATCCTTTCTGTATATCCTGTCAATCAAGTATTACAAGAAATAAGCTTCTAGGATCAATTGTATTTTGACAAGGCTTTGACCTTTGGTAATTAAGTATCTGAGAAAATATTCTGTAGATTTGCAGACATACTTGTATAGGTTACAACTTAACAAAGTATACAATTAATTATTTATTATGTGGGTGATTTTTTTATTATATCAGAATTGAATGCATAACAAGAACTAAACCAGTTTCTTCATATTCTTGATACTTTAAATATCACTTATAAGCTATTCAAGCTGAAAGGATCTAGTACTATTGTAACATTTTTTGGT